AAATCCACTCCCAAAGCAGTTTTCTGTTCCCATTTACAATTCAGAACATTCAAAGCACAGCTGTGTTTTGGAAAATTGTTCTTTCCCCCCCACAGCACAGCAGTTACTGCTGTAATTGCCATGTTAAATATGTTTAGGAATACAATAGTCACCAATACTTGTGGCTGTTCTTTTTGAAAGGCGTAGAGGTCGGGTGCTTCCCATGTTCATCTAAGCCTGTTTGAAAATGGCAAAATGCCATTCCACTAGCAATGCCCTGCCATGTTGTGAACTTATTTTCAGGTGGGCAGCGGGGGAAGAGGCAAAGGAAATTCCGAAGCAGCAATATGCTAAATGTTTCCAAATAGGAACACCTCTTATTTGCACACATTAGTGTTCCACTCCTAAGCAGTGCTCAAAACTGGGATACATATTTCATACTCATCCTGCCAAAAGATCAAAGAACCTTGTGTCACCTTAAAAACTAACAAGTTTGTTATGGCAAACATTTTCATGGATTACAATCTGCTTCGTCAGAACATCAGGATGTCTGTGTTCTCAGGAACTGTTTTGTGAACTACAGCTGTTAAGTTAGTAACTATCACTGTAACATCTACACTCTGAACATTTATATACACACCTGCAAGTCAGGACAACACTTCATGCATTTGACGAAGTGGACTGTAGTCCAGGAAAACTTATGCCACAATAAAGTTGATAGTCTTTTACAACAAAAAATGACAAAGAGTCTGGTAGCACCTTAAAGACTAACATGGCTACTGTTATGTATTCAGTGGTCTGTGTTTGCCTGAGTTTGAGTCTGGACTAAGGATTCTAAGCTCCTGATTTGATAAATGATGTCCAATCATAGAACACTTCAGGATTTGGGCCTCTGCCATTGGCCCTTGAACTCTGAGTTCAGACAGCCAATCAACGTGGGAGTGGGAGTGGCCCAGGCTCTCAGGAATGTATATTAGGGAAGCTTTTAATGTTTGATGTATTACGGTATTTTAATATTTTTTTTGGAAGCCGCCCAGAGTGGCTGGGGAAGCCCAGCCAGATGGGCGGGATATATATAAATAAATAAATAAATAAATAAATAAATAAATAAATAAATATTATTATTATTATTATTATTATTATTATTATTAAGCAGTTGCTTTGCCCCTGTTTCCCAGTTATGTAGTTCAATAAAGGTTCTTGCTGTTATCACTGCGTCTTGCCTTGTGGGAACCCACCCACACTTCAGCTACCCTTCTGGAAATTCTCAAAGCATGCATTTTTACAATTGCAGTCAATTGAAAATTTGCTTTTCTAGGTGATGCTAAAATCCATGAATTTTACCAATAACAAAAGAACCCCCCCCCTCTCTCTGGCTGCTGATTTTATGCTGAATTGCTCACGTAGTTAGGAATATTTTCCCTGGCATTTAACCTACATCTACTTTTCTGCAGACTCAACTCCTTGCTCCTTACTGCCCTTCCGCTTTATCTGATGTCCTTTTAAATATTTGAAAACTGTCAATATGCCCCCTTCACCTTCTTCTCTCTGTAGCAAATATAAACCCTGTTCCTGCAGCTTTGCCTTGCGTAACTTGTCTTCTAAACTTTTTATTATTCTCACATAGTTCCTCCTGAATGCTTTCCAATTTGTCAACATCTTTTCTCCTAGCTGATTTATATTTCATGAAACGCAAAATGCTGTGGCAAAGGTCCAGATTCAGGTACCCTTGCCTACCATCTTCATTTTGAAGAAGCAGTAACTGTAAGTGCTTTGATTTGTGTGGGGTGCAAACTAGAATAGGTGATTTCATTGCTTCAATTAATGACAGGATTTTTTGTCGTTGCTGTTCGCTTTTTCCCCCTCCTGGAGAGGAAGATGTTTCAAAACAAAGGACCGTGATCACTTTTCAAGTGTGTTCATGCCATACATTTAAAGCAAACCTCAATAACAAATCCTGGAAACTGTAGTTTGTTAAAGACACTGAGAATTGTAGCTCTGTGAGGGGTACACAACTGCTCCCAGAAATCTTTGGGGAGGGAGAAATGTGCTTTAAATGCCCTTAATATGGAAAAGGAGAATAAACACATATGCTAGGAAATTAGTGGAGTTTGCATTCTGTGGCAATTACAGTTGCCTCTATAAAAACAAATCCAGTTTCTTCAGTAATATGTGTATTATGTGGCTTCTGGAAGCCTGTGATGGATGATAAACGATGGATGATTTCAGGGAATTACCATACTGTGTGCTCAGTTTAGTTAATAGCATTCCAACAGGTTCACGTCCAATCCCTGGGCAAATATGGGATTTCATAAGCCCAAAGTATGCCCTTCAGGCACCCAGTCAGCCTTTTTGAACAATAATGTGGCAAACAAACAATATAAGTAGACAGATACCAGAGCAGCAGATGTGTAAGTCACGACAGAAATGTATTCACTGAACCATTAGCTAGTACTGAGCCTATTACATTTAAGTGATTCCAGATGTTATTATTTGGTATCCTTGAGAAATAAAATATACCTAAAAATTTGATTGAGGGTGGGGGCACATATTTTTATTTCCAGTTTATTTGATTTACCTCCTGCTTGCTACTCTAAGCTTCTAGCTCACATTACTTCTAACTATTGACTCGAAACTGTGACTTGATCATCATCATTGTTAAGTTGTGGGTGAACATATCAGACGACACAGCGATTCTTCAAACAGCTCTTGTTTATTCACAGGCCAGAACTGAACTGAACAGCAAACAGCTCAGGCGGCCTGCTTTTATAGGCAGCCGGCTATCAACATTGTAGGAACAACAACCCAGGGTTTCCCGCCTAAAGTAACTGACGTGGACCTGAGTGAAAACTACCGTATTTTTCGCTCTATAGCACGCACCCGACCATAACACGCACATAGTTTTTAGAGGAGGAAAATCCGTAGGCATGCCACCCGTAGGCATTCCCTCCATAACACGCACAGACATTTCCCCTTACTTTTTAGGAGGGAAAAAGTGAGTGTTATGGTGCAAAAAATATGGTATATACACAATACCCCTGGTGGCCAGGGTGAGAACTTCAATACCTAACAATCATCATCATCAACAACAACAACAAGAACAACAACTTTATGCCCCGCCCATCTGGCTGGGTCTCCCCACCCACTCTGGGCAGCTCCCAACAGAATATTAATAAAAAAGTGACCACATCAAACATTAAAAACTTCCCTAAACAGGGCTGCCTTCAGATGTCCTCTAAAAGTCAGATAGCTGTTTATTTCCTTGACATCTGATGGGATGGCATTCCACGGGGCGGGCACCACTACCAAGAAGGCCCCCTGCCTGTTTCCCTGTAACCTCACTTTTCACAGTGAGGGAACCGCCAGAAGGCCCTCGGAGCTGGACCTCAGTGTCCGGGTTGGATGATGGGGGTGGAGATGCTCCTTCAGGTATTCTGGGCTGAAGGGCTTTAAAGGTCAGCAACAACACTTTGAATTGTGCTTGGAAATGTACTGGGAGCCAATGTACTTGGAGTTGAGTGAGGGGGGGGCCCTACCCATTTGTTGTCTTGCACAGAGATTTTTGATCCTTTGTTCTCTTAATGGCCCATCAGGAGACAAGCCTGGCTACTTCCCAGAATTAGAAGTCTTTGCTTAGATTTTAACGCTTGCTAGATCCAAGGATTAGAAGCATCTGGTGCACAGTTTAGCACCCCAAGGTTTAATTAAATTCTAACCCTTACTGGTTCCAGAAATTTTAGAGAGGTCTAGCACCCCTGAATTAATAACTGTGTGTGTGTGTGTGTGTGTGTGTGTGTGTGTGAGAGAGAGAGAGAGAGAGAGAGAGAGAGAGATATTTTACTTTATTAATATTATAGCTCTTCTCTAAAATGATTTTTACATCAAAAAAGAGTTTTCCAATTGCTTACATTTTTAGGCACACCCCAAAATAAAACCACAATAAAAGTTAACACAAAAAATTAAAAACTTAGAGCAGCATAAAAAATTATCAGCCCCTGGAATTGAAGGAGATGCACAGTTCAGTCCTAACCATCTCTATTCAGAAATAAGTCCTACTGAATTCAATGGGACTCTCACTGCTGAGGGGGGTCAGGATTGGATCATCAGATAACTAATAACAATTCCCACCACCTAAAAAGGGTTCACCAAAATGAGTTAAAGTGACAGGAATCCAATGTATTTTTCCTTGTTGAATGCAACTGAAATGTTACTGTTTGTGATGGAGAATATATGTGAGTTCAGTGCTGGCCCATATCATTGCCATTTATTCAAGACGTGGCTTAGTAACATTGCACAATAGCCTTCTGCTGACACCTTTTCAATTTATTTCCTCTCACTCTTCAGTGTTGGTTTCCTTTGACCTGGTATTTTCCAATCTGGGTAATCTTGCTGCATCAGCTTGACGTTTTGCAGTGGGAGCCGAGGCCAAAAGCATAACTAAAAAGGCTTCCTGCTGGGGCATTAAGAATTTGATCTGCTCTCATGCAGGAAATTATATGCTACCACATCTGTTACATTCCAGGTGTTGCAAATTTAAACTTTAACAAATGATAGCTTTAAAAAGAACCAAACAAAAACTTGGGCAATTTCCTCCTCTGTAAAAATCCCACAATGTGAGTGAGTGTTCTAAAGCCTAGGAATGGTATTTGTAATTATTTCCTGCCTACATCGCTTCAGAATTCAAGTTATTGTTATATCTTCTTATAATCAATGCCTGCTCTCCCGCATAAACCAGCAACCCACCAATTAAATAATCCATTGACCAATGGTGCTATTGATAGAAAGCAGATTCTAGTAGTGACTGTTTCTATGATGGAAATCTTTTCAAAACTAACTAGTTCTATAGAACTTTTAAGGTGCAAGGTAGCTTGCATCTTAGGAACATAAGAAGAGCCTGCTGGATCAGGCCAGTAGCCCATCTAGTCCAGCATCCTGTTTCCACAGTGGCTGACCAGATACCTGTGCGAAGCCCAAAAGCAGGACCTGAGCTCAACAGCTCCCGTGGTTTCCAACAACTGGTATTCAGGTAGCTCAGTTGGTAGAGCATGAGGTTTTAATCTCAAGGTCATGTGTTTGAGACTCACATAGGGCAAAAGATTCCTGCATTGCAGGGGGTTGGACTACCGTATTTTTCGCTCTATAAGACTCACCGGATCATAAGACGCACCTAGTTTTTGGAGGAGGAAAACAAGAAAAAAAATATTCTGAATCTCAGAAGCCAGAACAGCAAGAGGGATCGCTGCGCAGTGAAAGCGATCAGAGCACTCCTGACATATGGTTGTCAAGCCTCTGCTTAAAGACCCCCAAAGAAGGAGACTCCACCACACTCCTCGGCAGCAAATTCCACTGTCGAACAGCTCTTACTGTCAGGAAGTTCTTCCTAATGTTTAGGTGGAATCTTCTTTCTTGTAGTTTGGATCCATTGCTCCGTGTCCGCTTCTCTGGAGCAGCAGAAAACAACCTTTCTCCCTCCTCTATGTGACATCCTTTTATATATTTGAACATGGCTATCATATCACCCCTTAACCTCCTCTTCTCCAGGCTAAACATGCCCAGCTCCCTTAGCCGTTCCTCATAAGGCATCGTTTCCAGGCCTTTGACCATTTTGGTTGCCCTCCCCTGGACACATTCCAGTTTGTCAGTGTCCTTCTTGAACTGTGGTGCCCAGAACTGGACACAGTACTCCAGGTGAGGTCTGACCAGAGCAGAATACAGTGGCACTATTACTTCCCTTGATCTAGATGCTATACTCCAATTGATGCAGCCCAGAATTGCATTGGCTTTTTTAGCTGCCGCGTCACACTGTTGGCTCATGTCAAGCTTGTGGTCAACCAAGACTCATAGAATCATAAAATCATAGAATCATAGAGTTGGAAGAGACCACAAGGGCCATCGAGCCCAACCCCCTGCCAAGCAGGAAACACCATCAGAGCACTCCTGACATATGGTTGTCAAGCCTCTGCTTAAAGACCTCCAAAGAAGGAGACTCCACCACACTCCTTGGCAGCAAATTCCACTGTCGAACAGCTCTTACTGACTCCTAGATCCTTTTCACATGTACTGCTCTCAAGCCAGGTGTCACCCATCTTGTATTTGTGCCTCTCATTTTTTTTGCCCAAGTGCAATACTTTACATTTCTCCCTGTTAAAATTCATCTTGTTTGTTTTGGCCCAGTTCTCTAATCTGTCAAGGTCGTTTTGAAGTGTGATCCTGTCCTCTGGGGTGTTAGCCACCCCTCCCAGTTTGGTGTCATCTGCAAATTTGATCAGGATGCCCTTGAGTCCATCATCCAAGTCGTTGATAAAGATGTTGAATAAGACCGGGCCCAAGACAGAACCCTGTGGCACCCCACTAGTCACTCTTCTCCAGGATGAAGAGGAACCATTGATGAGCACCCTTTGGGTTCGGTCAGTCAGCCAGTTACAAATCCACTGAGTGGTAGCATAGTCAAAACCGCATTTTACCAGCTTCTTTACAAGAATATCATGGGGCACCTTGTCAAATGCCTTGCTGAAGTCAAGGTAGGCTACATCCACTGCGTTCCCTTCATCTACCAGGCTTGTAATTCTGTCAAAAAACGAGATCAGGTTAGTCTGACACGACTTATTTTTCAGAAATCCATGCTGACTATTGGTGATCACAGCATTCCTTTCTAGGTGCTCACAGACTGTTTGCTTAATGATCTGCTCCAGAATCTTCCCTGGTATTGATGTCAGACTGACTGGGCGGTAATTATTTGGGTCCTCTCTTTTCCTCTTTTTGAAAATAGGGACAACATTTGCCCTCCTCCAGTCTGCTGGGACTTCGCCTGTTCTCCAGGAATTTTCAAAGATGACTGCCAGTGGTTCTGAGATCACATCTGCCAGTTCTTTTAATACTCTTGGATGCAGTTCATCTGGCCCTGGAGACTTGAATACATCTAAACTAGCCAAGTATTCTTGTACTATCTCCTTAGTTATTCTGGGCAGTGTTTCCTCTGCTGAATCATTTGCTCCAAATTCTTCAGGTCGGGCATTGTTTTCTTTATCGGAGAAGACTGAGGCAAAGAAGGCATTGAGGAGTTCAGCCCTTTCTGTGTCCCGTGTTTGCATTTCACCATCTTCTCCTCTGAGTGACCCCACTGTTTCTTTGTTCTTCCTTTTGCTACGAACATACCCATAAAAGCCTTTTTTGTTGCTTTTAACCTCTCTAGCAAGCCTGAGTTCATTCTGTGCTTTAGCTTTTCTGACTTTGTGTCTACACGTGCTGGCTATTTGTTTGAATTCCTCTTTGGTGGTTTCCCCCCTTTTCCATTTTTTGTACACATCCTTTTTTAATCTTAACTCAGTTAAAAGTTCTTTAGATAGCCACCCTGGCTTCTTTAGGCACCTTCCATGTTTCTATCATGACTAGATAGCCTTATTCCCTATGAATTTGTTTAATCCTCATCCAAGTTGGTCTCTGTCACTACCTCTTGTGAGAGCGAATCCCATATTTTAACTTGGTGCTGTGTGAATAAGTACCGGTACTTTCTTTTGTCTTCCCTGAATTTTCCAACATTCGGCTTTTACATGCCCTTTTTACATGCCCTTTTCTGACGTTTTCCTAACCTTTCTCTTGTATTTCCTGAAGAACAACCCAATAAAGTACATCAACTAAAGCCGAGTCTTCCCTAAGTCCATAACTGTAGATGGTGGAACTGAATCTAGGGTTTCCACATCAAAACCCAAGAGTCTTTTTGTCAAACATCTTCAGAAGGTACAATATATTTGATATATTTTATCTATATTACGTACTTTAAAAATTTATGTATGGCGTTTCTGTAGCTAGAATCTAGTGCATGCTTACCTGGCGGGAGTAAGCTCCATTGAACATAGTAAGCCGTTCTTCTGAATAAGCATGCATAGGATTGCATTGCGTGTCTGCAATTTTGTCTATTTCTCTAGCATTTGTGTTTTTGTATTTTATTTGTGCTATGCATAGAAAGTTGAATGTGTTTTCACCATTTGTGGACACATGTTTGCTTTTTATGGAATTTGAGAAAGACAACAAATCACTGATACTGGAATTGGTGTTAAATATGTGATTGAAGCAAAGCCATAGGTTATGATTTTGAGTGCTTTTTATTCTAGGAGATCTAAATTTGTAGCTGGCACAGGAACAGTCCCAGCAGTGGTTATTCTCTTTTCCAACAGTGGAGTGCAAATCAGAAGCTACTCATATTGCATGTTATGGTTGTGGTTTTTTGCCAACTCTAAAAAATGCCTGTCTGTTGCTGTAAAGATCTGTTGTTCTTTTGTTAGTGATGGGAGACAGTACTGAGTGAGCACGTAGAGCTATCCTTTAGAGTACTCCATCTTTTTAATTAGATTTCAGAAAGACTCAGTTTCCTCTGGCTGGACATTGAGTTGAAAGTGGCTACAACCAGGCTAAGAATATTTCAGAACAGCTGGGAAATGGTCCCTCCAGGGTTTGGGTTAGGACAGGTGCTTTATAATTTGGACATAAATGATTTAGAGTTTAGGGGTGAGCCGTGAGATGGCCAAGCTTGCTAAAGACACTGAATTAGTCAAGGTACTAAAAACAAAAAGGAATCGCAAGAAGCTTCAAAAGGCTACCTCCAAGCCAAGTGAATGGGCATCAAAATGGCAAATGCTGTTCAAGTTCATGTAAAGTGCTACACATTGGGGCAATAAAGCCTAACTCTATATCCGCCACTGTGGAAAGGATAGCTCCATTCTGCTGCAACGCTCCCCAAGCACTGGAGCAAATCAGCATTTTCCTTCTTGTTTATGGAACACTCTGCCCAGCATTAAATGGCGAAGGCTTACTTAGCACCACTACTGAAGCCATCGCCATAACTGTCCCGCTTACATTGGCACAGACTGTTGCAGAAATGGTCCAAAACTGCTTAGTGCTTCCTCTATTGAAGCAACAGGTATGACTGGGAGGCACAGTGAGTGTGGCCTGCATGAGTAAAGACTGTATGTTCTGTGTACATGGTCTACATGTGTGGGGCTTGTGTGTGCTGCAGGGGTGGTGAGGTAGTGAATGTGTGACCTGTGTATGTGTGTGGGGGTGTTCATATGTAGTGAATATCTGTGCTGTTGTATTTTGGTTCAACCTTTAGGCTAGAAAATGTTAGGCACTATTGCTTTATAGATCTATGTTGCAACCACACCTGGAATGTACTCTACATTTCTGCTGCCCTATCTCAAAAAGGAGCTGGAAGAAGGGCAGAAAAATGCAACCAAAAATATGTGTTTCTGTGTTGAGCCTCTGTGATGTTGTCCATGGAGTTGGTCAATTCTAAAATGCTTCTTAGCAAGCAGTTCTCTTCCAGTCTCACAGTAAAATGTCATGTTTACAGAATCGGCTTAAATAACAATGGAGGCTGCAGCATGTTAGCAATAATTCTTGTTATGTCTAGATCTTAATGACAATGCTCAATTCAAGTGATGTTTTATATATCAGTCTACACTTTAGTGTGACAGGAGTTTCCTAGCAAGACATCTTAGGAGGAGAGAGTCTAAATTAGAGATACTATAGGTGAATGCTCCGAAGGTCACCATGAATTAGAATACCCACCCGAGATCCTAGGAATTTCCCAAACCAATTTGAGTGCTTTGGAAAATGGTCTACTCCTTTCCCCCACCCTGTATCCCCACTCCTACAAAAACTAACAGAGCAAAGTTGCTCCCACCACCTTGCTTAGGGGCTTAGGCATGTCTTCTTGTCTCTGCACCTCAGATTTCAGCCTTAGAGAGCCTGAACAGCCCATGCAAGTTAATGGAATGAAGCTGTTCCAGGGAGTCAACTGAACTAAACCCTGCTATCCTCCAGGTTGGATTGAAATTCAAGTTGGATAATAATTTGGGGGCTTTTCAAGGTCACCTCTTTTCTGAGGCAGGCTTTAATGAGCCTGTCTCGGGATAACTTCTCAGGTCTTTCTAGCCTACATAAATACTGCCATGTTCACCCCAGGACTCTGAGTGGCGAAGTATCAGGAGTTTAACTTCCTTGGAATGAGATGGTATTTTGTGATATATATGGTAGTTCATTGATGTGCACACATATAAGCTGAACATAAGCGGAGAACCACTTCAGCAGACGCTG